TAGTTGCACATCCTTCTAGTTGCTGTATGTGGGACGCGGCCTCAGCATGGCTGGAGAAGCGGTGCGTCGGTGCACGCCCGGGATCTGAACCCGGGTCACCAGTAGCAGAGTGCGCGCACTTAACCGCTAAGCCGCGGGGGCTGGCCCACGTCGGTCTGTTTTTAGAGTGAGGCCTTCGAGCAAGAACAGCACCCACCTGCCTCCCCCCATAACTGTTCTACAAACACATTACATCTTTCTCTGATTAGTCAGCTGTTTGTTTATTGAGATACAATTCACATACCACAAAATTCACCATTTTAAAGTGTACAGTTCAGTGGGTTTTAGTATGTTCACAAGGTTGTGCAACATCACTGCTATCTGATTCAAGAATACTTTCATCACCCTGTAAGGAAAGCCCTTACCCATTAGCTATGGCTTCATCGATTCTGGACATTTAATATCAATGGAACCATACAATATGTGGCCTTTTGTGACTGGCTTCTTTCACTTAGTATGTTTTCAAAGTTCATCCATGGTATAGGATATATCATGGCTGAATAATATTGCATTGTGTGAATGTACCACAATTTGTTTATTCATCAGTTAATGGACATTTATTTTTTCCCTACTTTTTGGCTATTGTGAATAATGTTGCTATGAACATTCATGTAAAGTTTTTGTATGGACACATGTTTTTAATTCTCTTGGGTATATACCCATGAGTAGAATTGCTGAGTCATATGATAACTCTGTTTAACTTTCTGAGGAATACCAAACTGTTTCCCACAGAGGCTGTACCATTTTGCATTCCCACCAGCAATGTATGAGGGTTCCAGTTTTTCCACATCTTTGCTAAAACTTCTTATTCTCTGTCTTTTTTTTATAGCCATCCTAGTGGATGTAAAGTAGTATCTCATTGGGGTTTTGATTTGTATTTCACTATTGTCTAATCATATTGAGCATCTTTTCATGACTTATTGGCCATTTGTATATCTTCTTTGGAGAAATGTCTTTTTAAATCCTTTGTGTATTTTAAAATTAGGTTGTCTTTTTATTATCGAGTTGTGAGAGCTCTATATATTCTGGATACTAGATCCTTATCAGATATATGATAATATTTGCATATAAGATATGCAAATATTTTTCCTGTTCTGTAGGTTGTCTTTTCACTTTCTTGATAGTATCCTTTTGAAGCACAAAAGTTTTTAATTTTGATAAAGTCCATTGCCTGATTCAAAGACGTGAAGATTTACACCTGTTTCCTTCTAAGAGTTTTATACTTTTAGCTCTTACTTTTAGATCTTTGATCCATTTCGAGTTAATTTTTTATATGGTGCAAGATGGGGGTCCAACTTCATTCTTGTGCATGGGACAGTTCACTTATCCCAGCACCATTTGTTGAAAAGACTATTCTTTCCCCATTGCAATGTCTTGGTGCCCATGTTGAAAATCAATTGCCCATAAATGTACAGATTGGTCTCCTGTTGTTGACTAGAATATCTTGAAATGTTGTTCAGGGTTATATGGTGTAGATAGGAGCAGAGCTCAACCAGAAGACAATAGGTAAAAACTTGAGTTCTAAAATCCTCATTTCCGGGGCTGGCTTGATGGTGTAGTGGTAAGGTTTGCACACCCTGCTTCGGTGGCCCAGGGCTCGCAGGTTCCGATCCGAGGTGCGGACTTACACACCGCTCATCAAGCCATGCTGTGGCAGCATCCCACATACAAAATAGAGGAAGACTGGCACATGTTAGCTTAGGGACAATCTTCCTCAAGCAAAAGGAGGAAGATTGGCAACAGATGTTAGCTCAGGGCCAATCTTCCTCAGCAAAAAATAAATAAAGTAAAATCCTCATTTCCATAAGCCCACATGAAGGGGAGTTTGGTGTGTCTTCGGGACCCAGTCTAAGCCATTAGGGCAGATGTGTGCAGTCTCTTGGGCTCCAGACAGCTCTGTTGCCATGTGAACCTGCATTTGTCCGTGACATACTCCATGGAGTTCATAAGCAGAGGAGGAAACAGCAAACAGGTTTACTTCAGAAACAGACCTTGGATTCTCAGAAGCCTCAGGAGAGGGAGGAGCAGCCACTAGCCAGTGCACATTCCAGAAGGCCCAGAAGCATGCTTTCCTGCATTCTTGTGTGTGTGTGTACACAAAGGCAGGAACACTGGCTCCCTATGGCCCCAGAAGCACCCCTGAGGGGCAGGAAGAGCCAATCCCATCCGGAGGAGTGAGCAGGAACACACCCCATGTATACTTGGATACACACTTGCACACCTGTGTGCACACTGATCTCCAGCAGCAGTTGCTGGGAACATGAGGCTTCTCTGACTTCATACCCAGTCCAGCTCTGAGGGGGGCCAGCCCTTGTCCCTCCCCAGCCCTGCTGCCCAGTGACTATTCTAGGAACAAAGTGGGTCCTCATTTCACCTCAGTCCACATCGCAGCGAGCAGGGTCTTGGGGCCTCAGCTGCTTGCGCTGTTGGGGAGCCCAGCTCTGAGACTGCTCGCCGAGGCTCTGCCACAGACAGGTTGGAGAAATGATCACCCACACAACTGTTTGTTTGGCTGACAAACGCTCCAGACCCACAGTGGGCCTGTTCAGAAGGTAAAAGGCAGTCAGTTCCCATTCACATCAAGTCCTTCTTTGTTTTGTGAGCTTTTCCACCTGAGATCCTGGGCTCCACAACTCACCTGCCCACACAGTCTGCCTAAGGCCCAGCGGGGGAGAAGCTTCGGTGAGGAGTGTCAGCGGAGGAAGGCTGTGTGTGAGCGGGGAGTGCGTGGATGAGGAAGAGAGTGTGGCTGGTTTTGTTCTTTAAATTGCAAAACAGCGTTTTTCCATTCTTACCCAGTAGCCTTGGGCATTCTAGCTGACAACTCGTCACACACGTTTCTTTGTTTAAATACTTCTAGGGTGTTGTCGGAATTCAGCAAAGCCCAGGTCAACTCTGTGCCAACCAACGGACTGAGCCGGGACACGGAGATTCCCACGCTGCAGGCCTCACTTTCCCTCCGCTGCCCCGACACCAGCCCTCACCTGCACTTTGATGTGCCTGCAGAGCCCCTCCCTGCCCAGGCGTCCTCGGGGACTCGAGGTGGTGGCCACAAGCAGGAGCTGCTTTCCCAGGCACCTGGCACCCTGGGCTTGCAGCAGCTGGGCACTGCCCATGTTGTCCCTTCGGGGAGCACTTCAGGCCAGCAGCCTTCTAGTCCTGTGAGAGAGACGACCAGAGCAGCTGGCCGAGTGAGTGGCCAGCAGAAGCCCCCAGGGGATGACGGAGCTGGACTGAGCCTCGTGGTTTCCTCACCCACCAGTCCGGTGAGTGGTACAAATTGTCTGGGGGGAGGTCTTGGTGAAATGTCTCAGAGCTGGTGCGAGATTTCCCCAGCTAGTGACCCCAAGTGGTCTCTGCCTTGTCCCCGTCAGCCCCCTCTCCCTGCATGACGTTAGTATGAATAGCATCGTGATGATGGAGCTGATGTTTCTGGTGTGTGAGTAGTGGTTAGGAGCCAGGCACTGTGCCCATCACTGCCCATGCGCATCTCCTGTCGTCTTCACGTCCACCCTGTGGAGAAAGTAATTCTCATCTGACCGCACACTCTCTGCTCTTAACCACTGCCACTTACCAGCTTAAGGCCTTGGGCAGGGCACTTCGCCTCACTGAGTTTTGGTTTCCTCCTCAGTGCTTGTTAGTATTAAATTACTAGTTTTACAAAGTATCAGGTTTTGAAAATACTCATTTTGCAATGTGAACTGGATTTAGAACTGCGCTATCCAATATGGCAGCTAATAGCCACATGTGGCTATTGAGTGCTTAAAATCTGGTTAGTCCAAATTGAGATAAGCTATATTAAATAAACACTGAGGGGGGCCGACCTGGTGGCATAGCGGTTAAGTGCGCACGCTCCACTTCGGCAACCCAGGGTTCGCAGGTTCTGATCCTGGGCACAAACCTATGCACTGCTCATCGAGCCATGCTGTGGCAGGCGTCCCACGTATAAAGTAGAGGAAGATGGGCACAGATGTTAGCCCAGGGCCAATCTTCCTCAGCAAAAAGAGGAGGAGTGGCAATAGATGTTAGCTCAGGGCTGATCTTCCTCACCAAAAAAAATAAACTAAAATAAATAAACACTGGGTTTTGAAGGCTTAGTATGAAAAAACAGTAAAATCTGATTAATAATTTTTTATTGATTGCATGTTAAAATGAAAATATTTTAGATATATTGGGTTAAATAAAATATTCAAATTAATTTTACATGTTTCTGTTTACATTTTTTAAATGTGGCTACTGGAACATTTTAAATGACATGTGGCTCGTGTTGTATTTCTGTTGGACAGTGCTGTTCTAGAATAAGCTAATCCAGTTTGTTGATAACCCGAGAGAAGCCAGCCCTGGGAATGTCCTGGAGAGAGCCATGGGTGGAGAGGCTTGAGAACTGTTGGCCTGGGGAAGCAGCAGTCAAAGCTGTGAACCCAAGCTCTTGTGCTGTTTCACGTTTGCTCTTGTGTCATGAAAAGCAGGGGTAGGAATTTGTATGCACGTGTGTTTATCCCAGCTGCGGTCTGGGGCTCATATTGGGATCCAGTCTTGCTTTTTCAGCTCCATCTATGCATGCTTCTCCTTTGGCCTGCAGCTTTCAGATCCTATAACTCAGGATGAGGCCAGGGCCATGAAATAGACTAGAAGAGACACATACATCCTCTTTTTTATTTATTTTTCTTGTTGTGAGGAAGATCAGCCCTGAGCTAACATCCATGCTAATCCTCCTCTTTTTGCTGAGGAAGACCGGCTCTGAGCTAACATCTATTGCCAATCCTCCTCCTTTTTTTTCCCCCCAAAGCCCCAGTAGATAGTTGTACGTCATAGTTGCACGTCCTTCTAGTTGCTGTATGTGGGACATGGCCTCACCATGGCCGGAGAAGCGGTGCCTTGGTGCGCGCCCGGGATCCGAACCCAGGCCGCCAGTAGCGGAGCGCGTGCACTTAACCACTAAGCCACGGGGCCAGCCCTACACCCTCTTTTTTTAACAGCTTTATTGAGCTATAATTCACATACCATACAATTCACCTAATTAAAGTGTATAATTCAATTTTTTTTTATAGTAACAGGGTTGTGCAACCATCACCACAATCTAATTTTAAAACATTTTCATCCTCCTTAAAAGAAACCCCTTACCCGTTAGCAGTCAGTCCCCATCCCTCTCTCCTCCTCCTACCTTTCTCCCCTCAACCCCTGGCAACCACTAATCTACTTTGTCGATAGATTTGTTATTTTGAACATTTCACATAAATGGAATTGTATGATATGTAACCTTTTGTGACTGGCTTCTTTCAATTAACATAATGCTTTTAAGATTCATCCATGTTGGAGCATGAATCTGACCTTCATTCCTTTTTATTGCTGAGTAATATTCCTTTGTAGATTCTATGTATCTACTTTTTGGCTATTATGAATAATGCTGCTATGAATATTCATATACAAGTTTTTGTGTGGATATATGTTTTTAATTCTCTTGGATGCATTCTTAGGAGTAGAATTTTTAGATCATATCATAACTATATTTACCCTTTTGAAGAACTGCCAAACTGTTTTCCAAAGCAGCTGCCCCATTTTATATTCCTACCAGTGGTGTATTCCCCTATATCCTTACCAATACTTCTTATTGTCTTTTTTAAAATTATTATTGTTATTGCTATCCTAGTGGGTGAGAAGTGGTATCTCATTATGGTTTTGATTTGCATTTCCTTGATGGCTAATGGTGTTGAGCATCTTTTCACATGCTTATTGGAGATTTGTGTATCTTCTTTGGAGAAATGTCTATTCAGAACCTTTGCCCTTTTTAAATTGGATTATTTGTCTTTTTATTATTGAGTTATAATAGTTCTTTATATATTCTGGATTCTAGATCCTTGTTAGATATGTGATTTGTAAATATTTTATCCCATTCTATGAGTTGTTTTCGCTTTCTTGATGGTATCATTTGTAACATAAAAGTTTTAAGTTTTGATGTAGTCTAACATATCTATTTTTTCTTTTGTCATTTGTGCTTTTGGTGTTGTATCTAAGTATGCATTTCCTAATCCAAGGTCATGAAGATTTACTCCTATGTGTTCTTCTAAAAATTTTATAGTTTTATTTCTTACATTTAGATCTGTGATCCCTTTTGAGTTAATTTTTGTTTATGGTATAAGGATGAAGTCCAACTTCATTCTTTTGCATATAGATATACAGTCATACCAGCACCATTTGTTGAGAAGACTGTTTCCAGCTTTTAAAAATTTTTGAGGAATGCTGTATTTAAAGTACCCAGATCCTCAAGGTACACCTCAATGAGTAATTATATATGATGTGCATTCTGTAACCAGCATCCAGATCAAAACGTAGAACATTTCCAGCCCCAGAAGGCTCCCTCATGCCTTCTCGCAGTCATTATTCCCCTCCAGAGGAAACCCCCATGGTGACTTCTGGCACCGTAGATCCATTTTTCCTGTTGTTGAACTTCATATAAATGGAATCATACAATATGTACTCTTTTGCTTCTTTCTTTGAACATTATGTCTGTGAGATTCATCTGTACATACAACATGAGGCTATAGTTTGTTCTTTTCCATTGTTCTACAGTATTCCATGGTGAGAATATATCACAATATATTTATCCATTCTCCTGCTAACAGACATTTGGGTTGTTCCCAGGTTTTGGCTATTATGAAGAAAGCTGCCGTGAACATTCTCATACTTGCCTTTGGTGAACCTGTGTACTCATTTCTGTGGGTATACACCTAGGGATGGAACTTCTAGGTCATTGGTAGACATATGTTCAGCTTTAGTAGATACTGCCAAACAGTTTTCTAACAGTGCTCGTACTAACTTATACTCACGTTAGCACTATAGGAGCATTTTCACTGCTCTTTATCCTAGCCAGTGGTGTCATTGATCTTTTTAATTTTAGCTACTCTAGTAGGTGTGTAGTGGTATCTCACTGTGGTTTTAATTTGCATTTGCCTGATGACTAATGATATTGATACCTTTTCATGTGCTTATTGGTCATTTGGTCCTCTTTTGGAAGTGTCTAAGTCATTGTCTCATTCTTAAATTGAGTTGTGGGTATTTTCCTTATTGATTTGTAAGGGCTCTTTATATATTATGGATATGTCTTTTATTAGACAAATATGTATATAGTTATATATAGCAAATGTCTTCTTCTAGTCTATGATGTACCTTTTATTATTTTTATGATGTTCCTTTTAAATCTCTTAATGGTATCTTTTGTTGAACAGAAGTTTTTCATTTTAATGGTCTTCAACTTATCAATCTTTCTGTTTATAGCTAACGTGTTTTGTGTCTATTTTAAAGATCTTTGTCTACCCCGAGGCTGTAAAGGCTATGAAAACCCCTAAAGCTTCTAGAAGCTTGAATATTTTACCTTTGTAATTAGGTTTATGATCCATCTGGGATTAACTTTTGTATATGGTATGAGGTAGGAGTCAAGGTTTATGTTTTTCCATATGGATATCTGATGGACTAGCACCATTTATTGAATATGACTGTATGAATCATGTAACTGTGTAAGTGAGGGCCAGACTCTCCATTTCTACTATCTTGAAGATTGCTTCAGGGCCCAGAGTGTCACGGGACCCTGAAGGCTGTAACCAGACAACTGCCAACACATGGCGAAGGTTGAGGAAGAAAGGCTCTGCCACCCCCAGGGAGAGGTGGAGGAAGAGGGATGTCCCCGAGGCATGGTGGCTGTGTGCCCCAGCCGGATTCCACAGAGTGGTGGGGACCGTGTTGAGTTCATCCCTGTCCGTCGTCTGGCTTCTGCTCTGCAGGCCCAGACATCCCATCTTGCCAGGGTCCCAGAGCTGATGGGACAGGCGGCTTAACTCATCAGCAAGTCTCCTCCTCCGCTCGCCAAGTTTTGGCCCTCTGGCCTCCTTGCAGTCCCAACAAAGCAGCCTCCTTCCGGCCCAAGCTTTCCCACTTGCTGTTTCCTCTGCCTGGACCCTTTCCCGACTCACTGCTTCTCCTCCCTGTTGTCTCAACCGTCCCTGACCCCTCTTCTCAAGAGCACCATCCCCAGTGACTCTCTTTCCCATTTACCTGCTCTACTTTGTCTATAACATTCATCGTTATATGAAATTATATTATCTATTCGTCTGCTTGCTTATTTTCTGTCTTCTGGACTAGAATATTAGCTCCATGATATTTAAAGACCATGTCTGTTCACTTCTGTAATGTCAGCTCTGAGCACTGTACCTGGGAGAGAGTAGGCATCAGTTAATAGTACTCGAGCTCTCCAGAGACTCTCGAGATGCCAGCCCGTAAGTTGACACAGAGAAGCACTCCATCAAGTGCACAGAGCTGGCAGGTTGGTCTGACCAGGGCAGGCTCCGCCTCCTTGCAGGCCTCAGGGGAGTCTGTTTGCTGGAGGGTTGCTTGGAGAGGTGGGAATCAAACCTGGTGCTGAGTCCAGCGTGAGAGCCTCGGAGGCTCGCCCCTTCCTGAGTCTGTCTCCACAGGGGGTTGTGGATCCATTCATTCCTCCACTCGGTAGATAGTCACAGCACCGCTGGGAGGCCTGCATGCTTGCACAGGTCTGGTGGCTGCCCTGCCTTTGGATGGGGTGGGGCTCTGCCCTGCATGCTGCCTCTGTGGTTCTCATCTTTCTATGCTTGCACCATCACTTAGTCACTGCTGTTTATTTGACACTTTGGTGGGGGAGGGCAGGGATCACTGTCAAGTTTTATAACTCTGAGAGCCATTTAGTCTTTCTTTGAAAAAAAATTTTTTTAATTCATTCCATTTACAGGCCCTGCTATGGGCCAAACCGTGCTTGGTACAGTGGTGGAACAGCACAGACAAGGGCCCTGCTCTTTGGGGACAGACACTAGATTAGACAAATAATTATCCACATAATTACACTTGTGATGACTGCTGAGAAGGAAGGGTGCAGGGAGAGAGGGAGCTAGGGGGGTACTTTGTGCTTGTGGGATCTAGGGGGTTGTGGGTTGGGTTCTCAGTTTAACTCCCAGAGGACAGTCTGAATTCTAAGACTTGGCCCTAATCACTGCCCTCATGGACCACCTGCCATGGCATGTGGTCCCTCCCCCAGGTAGGGGTGCAGGCAGTCTCTCTGCCTGACATAATGAGGACAGACTGGACAAAAAGTGCTTTTCTGAAAGCGTCCAGAGACCTGGCATCTCACTCCTAAGCCAGACTCCTCTCTGGGATTATCAGTTGTCTCCAGTGCCCTGAAACCTTTAGTAACTCAGGTGGCATTCCTCTGTCTTGGGTTCCTTGTGGCAGGTGCTGCTCTGGCTTAGATCCTTGGTCAGTGGTGATTTTCCCCCACTGTTAAAGGGGCAGGGAACTGGCCAGATGTGGGGCCCTGGGTGAGCAGGAGGTAGGAAGGTGGGAGGAAAGAGGAGGGAAAAGGGAAACCGTGGTGGGTGCCCCCCCCCCCCCCCGCTTTATGACTGGGGGCCCTGTTGGGGGGCACAGCCCCCAGTTCAGTCCGGGACTGTGTACAGAAGCTCCAGGGACGCAGTGTTCCCATTGTTTTTCTCTATGGCTTAAGAGAACAAAAGGTTTTCCCTGGAGTCTCATTTCCTGGTGGCTGATCTGTGGTCAGTGGGCCATGTCTGAACATTTTCGGGTAGTCTCCCCCTCTTCTATGGAGAGAGAAGCCCTTGCCAGTGAACCTATACATTGTCTCAAAATTCACATTTGTCTCCTTCCTTCCAGTTCCCTTGCCCCACCCTTGTTATTTTACATTAAAGACATTTGTATAGTCAAGATTTATTCCCTCATCTTTTATAACTCTGTGCCAAGCACAAGGAAAAATGACCATTCCAAACAGCCTTGTAGTTGCAAGGATGAGGATAAGCACATAATGCCGTTGGAGGCCAGGAGGGGTCCCTAACCCAGCGTGGGGGTGGGAGAGGTGTAGGCTAGGGAATAGTAAGGAAGGCTTCCACGAAGAGGTGAGGGATGACCCTGGAGCTGAATCTCAAGAGATAGTGGTCTCTCCCGTTAGGGCTATTAGCAGGGGCTGGGTGGTCACAGGATCCCAGGTGTGTGTGCCAGGCTCCGTGGGGCTGCCTGCACAACCTCGGGGATGCTCCTCCTGCCCATTTTCATCAAGGAGTTCCCCACAGTCTCCACGACCTAGGCAGACTTTGTTCAGAATCCCGTGTTGTAAATGGTCCCCAGTAGCCACACTGATTGACACATAGTCCTGTCACTGGCAGAAGGAAGCACCTGCCAGTTCTGAGGGTTTTTGGAGGAAGCCCTGGAGGCCCAGCTCTGTGAGCTCCTGACTCAGAACTCTACTCTTGGCTTAAGGAGTCTTAGAGCATCTGAATGGATTCAACTGTCCAATCCTGGGGCAGCCCCAGCCCTGCTCCCCTGCCCTGTCTACAGGAGCAAGGAGGGCAGCTTGATTTAGGGGTTGGAAATAGCTATGTCAGGGTGAGGTTGCTGGCACTTAACAAAACAGTTGGGCTGGTCCCCCCCTGCCGTGTGACTCATTTCCTCTGTGTAGACAGCCACTTAAGGCAGCCCAGTCAGCTTCCTTGCCTCTGCTCTTCCACACTTGGACACAGAAAGGCAGGGAGCACTTGAAATAGTGAAAAAGAGGAGCTAGAATCCATGCCCACAAGCCCCCTGAGCCCAGACCTGGCCCCACTTCCTGCAGCCGGTGAGCAGCTTCAGACTCGGAGAGACAGCCAGGGAAGGGAAGGGGCAGGGCCTGGCTGCCTGGGGCCTTAGGGGCCTGCTCAGAAGTGGGAGCCGAGGCAGAGGCAGCACTGAGGCCTCTGGGTCCTGTCGCTCCTGCTTCCCTCATCTCAGACCCCCAAGCAGGGCCAAAAAACTACATCCCTTCAACAAACAGTGCTGGGACAACGGGAAATCCACATGCAAAAGAATAAAGGTGGACCCCTTCCTCCCTCCATACACAAAAATTAACTCAAAATAGATCATAGAGCTAAATGTAAGAGCTAAAACTATAAAGCTCTTAGCAGAAAACATAGGAGTACACCTTTGTGACCTTGACGTAGGCAATGGTTTCTTAGATACAACACCAAAAAGCACAGAGACAAAAGAAAAAATAAATTGGACTGAGTCAAAATTAAAAACTTTTGTGCCTCAAAGAGCACCATCAAGAAAGTGAAAAGAGGGCCCACAGAATTGGAGAAATTATTTGCAAATCCTGTGTCTGGTAAGGACCTAGCATCCAGAATATATAAAGAACGCCTACAAATTCATTTCCTAGGGCTTCTGTAACGTAAGCTGGATGATGTAAAACAATAGAAATGTATTCCCTGATAGTCCCAGAGGCTAGAAGTCCAAAATCCAGATGTTGGCAGGGTTGGTTCCTTCTGGAGATTCTGAGGAAGAATCTGTTCCATGCCTTTCTCTTAGCTTCTGGTGTTGCCAGCAATCCTTGGTATTCATTGGTTTGTAGGCACATCACTCCAGTCCCTCCCTCCATCATCAATGGCGTTCTCCCTCTGTGTCTCTGTCTTCACTTGTCATTCTCCTCTCCGCGTGTGTCTTGTCTCCTCTTATAAGGACACCAGTCACTTTGGTTGAAGGGCCCAACCTACCCCAGTATGACCTCATCTTAACTAATTACATCTGCAACAACCCTATTTCCTATGTTGGAAGGGATGTGGAGAAATTGGAACCCTCACATGTGGCTGGTGGGAAGGCAAAATGGTGCAGCCACTTGGGAAAACAGTTTGGAAGTTCCTCAAAAAGTTAGACATCATTACCATATGACCTATCAATTCCACTCCTA